AGAACTCTAAGCACCTGAGAGAGAGTGGGCACCTCCCAGAACATTGTTTTGTGCCACTCCCAACAGAAATACTCCAGGTGGACAACTTCAGCAATCAGGAGCTCCTCAGTTGCTCATAGAAAATCCCACCTTGGAGTTTACAAAGACTTATGGGTAGAAAAGCCACACTAAGTAATTTACTACACTAAGTAATTTACTACACTGCAAGGTCTTACTTCCCTCCCCTCATGAAGAAGTGCCCTTTGCCTCTGGACCCTACTAGTTCCCAGGGAGTAAGGGGTGGGATCCAAGGTCACCTGCAGGCCAAGGTTTTACAAACAGACCAAAAGTCCCAAGTAGAAGTCACAATGCATTTATCAAAGAGAGACGAGCAGCAGGCTAGTTGATTAGAATCCATACTTATCTTTGGAACCCCTGAGTGGTTTCAAGGCTATGCACCCTCCACCCCTGACCTTGGCAATTGGCATTCTAAGGGTGGAGTCTCTGTAGGAAAATTTCAACTGCAGATAAAAATAATGAAAGCAATCCCTAACATTATCCCTGTTAGAAACCCTTAGTAGAGACCTGGGCACATAACATGCTGTGTTCCAAAAAATCAAACCAAACTCACTGCTGTCGAGTCAGATCTGACTCATAGCAACCCCTCCTTGGGTTTCCGAGGCAGCATAACTACAGAGATAGATTGCACAAACTTCCTTCCGAGGAGTGGCTGGTGGGTTTGAACTACCAGCCTTCTGGTTAGCAGTCAAGTGCCTTAGGCACTATGCCACCAGAGCTCCTACCAGCCACTCCTCGGAAGGAAGATGGGGCAATCTACTTCTGTAGTGATACTGCCTTGGAAACCCAAGGAAGGGTCGCTATAAGTTGGGTCCGACTTGACGGCACATAACAACAACAACAATACATTTTTTTAGCATCTCTCTAGCCTTGTCTGCTTAAGATCTGTTTGCTTTCAACTGGGAGGGGCAGCAATGGACATTCTTGGTGCTGCCCCCGAGGTATTAACACAGCCTAAGACACTTGACTGCTAACCAGAAGGCTGGAGGTTCAAACTCACCAGCCACTCCTTGGAAGTAAGGTTGGGCAATCTACTTCCATAGTGATACCACCTTGGAAACCCAAGGCACGTAACAACAATAGCAACAACCATTTGCCATGGTATGGTCGCTAGGGA